ATGTATATAATATATATGTGTGTGTGTTGTTTCATTGAATTTATTATTAATTCTAATAAAAGAAAAATCAACATTTTTTTTTTTTTTTTAGAAAATGAGACTAATTGAAGAGAATATTAAGAGACATCCAGTTGATCAAGACCCATCAATAATAGAAAAATATGACAAAAAATTAAAATTAATAGAAGAGAGTAAATCATTAAAAAACAAAATTCGTGAAGCAGAATCGATTCTCCAACTTGATGAGCTTAAAAAAAGAAAACGTTTATTACGTAGAATGGGTTACTTATCGGAGAGTGACGTGGTTGAGTTCAAAGGTAGAATAGCATCTGAGATCACATCGGGGGATGAAATAGTTTTAACAGAGCTGTTGTTGAATGGTGTTTTCAATGATTTGTCGGCTGAATCAGCGGCTGCACTACTTAGTTGTTTTGTGATTGATGAGAAAGTGGATGAAATGGACGTTAAACTTCGAGAAGAATTCAATACGCCATATAGACAAGTTTTAGAAACAGCTAGAATTGTGGCCGAGATTACTGCAGAATGCAATATTGCTATTGATAAAGAAGAATACTTGGGAAGTTTTTCACCTGTATTGATGGAAAGTGTATTTGCTTGGTGTAATGTAAGTACAATGAAAAATGAATTTCTTTCAACATTTCCACTTAAAAATCTCATGCTTACATCGTTTATTATTTTTTTGAATGATTTTTAGAATGCGTCATTTTTAGAGACATGTAAAAGAGTAAACATGTATGAAGGAAACATAGTTAGAAATTTTAAAAGTTTGGATGAATTATTACGAGCAATGGTATTAGCAGCTAAATGTATAGGAAACATTGAATTAGAAAATTATATAATACAACGCCTATTTCATTCTTCATAGCTTACTTTGATTGGACTAGTGTATATTACTCTTTGTTTATTATTTAAACTTTGAGCAATGGCATACTCTGCTACTACTGTTTTACCCGCAGAAGTATGGGCACTCACTAGAACGGATTCTGAGCGCTCTATACAAGAAATTGCATACTCTTGAAATGGATCGAGTTTGAATGGGTATGTTCGAGCTGGTGTGCTTGGTCTTACGTGTTGAGAGATAGGTGTGTATGCATAATTTAGAGGTACTGCTACTTGATGCCTTACCTTTTCAATTTCAAGTTTGTGTTAGATCAAATTTAAAAATTCAAAAATTCACTTGAAACAGTCGAATAAACATAGGAAGATAACAATAATAACCTTATGTCCTAAAACTACTTTACCACCTTCAGGCACTAGATTTTCTGCTAATAGCCCACCGGTAGAAATTGTAACTTCTCTTGTGGATTCTTCTTGAAATAAGTCAGTAACTACGGGTTCTATTTGAGTATTTTCTTCCATTTTGGATTTTTTAGAGGTGGACTGTTTATTATTACTGTCATTATCATTATCATTATTATCATTATCATTATGAGCATTTGAAAGGGTTCTTTTTTTTTGCATTTTTTTTGATTTATTATATATACTATTTTTAAAAAAATTTTTTTTAAATACAAATACAAATTAATGTCACGCGATTAGCGAATCGTACTAATTTTAGAAGTAAATTGTTATAAAAAAACCTAGTATATTTTACCATTATTATTTATCTCTAGATTAACAAGTAAACCTTATTACACTAAATCAGGATGATCCAAATCCTCCCTATAGCTAATTGTGGCTTCATAGAAAGTCATCATTGCTGCTGCTGCCACCAGCTAGACATAT